GATAAGTATTAATCTTTTTTTATATTTATATATTAAAATTTTGTTTGAAATTTATGTTTAAAAAATTAAATTAAATTGATTAAAAATACATAAAAAATAAAATTTAAAAAAAAATATATAATGTAAAAGTATAATAATCAATTTATTTTATATCAAGTGCAAAATAAGCTAGATGAGATATCACTCATGCAGTGAGCTAAAAGGAAAATATCACGAATTGTGCTGAAGTAAAATGCATATATATATTTATGAAATGTTTAGAGAAAAAGGAAAAAACTTGCTTGAGTTTTGATCACAATAGTCAATTTCTCAACTTTTTACATTTTAAGCAAACATGAATAATGCCTTGGCAGGAGTTTTACGAGATTATAGATAGGTATTATCCTTTTTTGGATGAGTAGATAGGAGAAAAACAATCAAAGCAAAATTGAAGTTATCCTCAACTATATATAATATATATCAACTCTAATTCCAAACCAACATTCGATCAATAATCACTAAGATTTCTTTACAAAATCTAGTTCTTAGCATTAGGGTTAGATATAGTCATGAAGGGTCTCCTTACTATCTCTGTTATTCTGTTGCTTTCTTCATCCTGTTCATGCAGCAGGCTAGAGCCTTGGACAGGAGACTATTTTGATGCATTGGTTTCGGGTTCTTTCGGAGATAGAGAAGCTGCAATAACAACATTCAATCCCATGGATTATGGTGCAGTGGGAAATGGCCAAACTGATGACTCGCTGGTACAAATAACTCGTTTTAATTTGTTTCTACTAATACTTTCATTTTTTCATGACCAAGAAAACCTGATTGCATCGCACTCCCTGTTAAACTTAAATCCAAGGCATTCATTAAAGCTTGGGAACATATTTGTGCTGCGGATGGAAGACTGCCAACCTTTTACATACCACCGGGGAAAACATTTCTTCTCGGTCAGGTCCAATTCAAGGGTCCATGCAAGGCCAGCAGTGTTCGTGTTCGGGTAAATAAAATAATAATTTATAGGCTTCGATTTTGAACTTGTTTTATCAATAATAAAGGTGTATTTTCTTTTTTCCAAAAAAATACATATATTCTTTCTTTGTTTAACAGCTTTCAGGGAGTCTTATAGCTCCCCATGGCATTTCCTGGGGAGGAAATGATGGATTGGAAGCTTGGATTCGATTTGAGAATATTGATAATCTCATCATTGATGGAGAAGGAAAAATTGATGGTCAGGGACAATCTTGGTGGACTGCTTGTGCCATAAAGAAACAGAATGTAGTAATAACATTCAATCACCTCCGAAATCAACTTTTCTTGAAGTTAATTAATTAATCTAATATAATCTAATCTCAACTTGTAAATTCATTATTTTCCAGGGTAAATCCAAGTGCCAGAAACCTACTGTAAGTAATTTAAAATTTTAGAGACTTTCTAATTAAATTAATTTGTTTCCAGTGTTCTGATGTTGTTCTTGGTTTTCGTACAGGCTTTTCATATACACGGCTGCAATGGACTGAAATTAAGTGGACTCACCCATCTCAACAGTGCAAAGAACCATATATCCTTAAGTGGCAGCAATAATGTTATCATTTCCAATATCCGTATTATTGCACCTGAGGAGAGTCCAAACACTGATGGAATTGACATCTCCACCTCCTCCAATGTCATGATAAAAAACTCTTTCATTGGAACAGGTAATTTGATCTTCAAACATTCATTGATTCAATAACATTAAACATATTAACCATGCTCTCACTGTTCAGATTCTTCTTCCCTACAGGTGATGACTGCATTGCAATCAACAGTGGGTCATCTTGGATTAGCATAACTGGTGTTACTTGTGGACCAGGACATGGCATAAGCATTGGAAGCCTTGGAGAAGATGGTGCCTACCAAACAGTAGAAGGAGTAAATGTTGAGAATTGCAGCTTCAGAGGAACTGACAATGGAGTTAGAATCAAGACATGGAAGGTAAGATTAAAAACAAAAAAAATAGCAGTTTAAGTTTAAACACATTGAAAAAGGAAAAATCATTAGATCATGATCATTTTCCTTGGTAGGGTGGACGGGGATATGCGAGGAAAATATCATTCAAGCATATCAACTTCATGAATACTAAAAACCCCATTGTGATTAACCAGTTCTACTTCGATAAGAACAGCTTAGACCCGCAAGCGGACGTTAAAAACTACCCAGAAATCAAAGTCAGTGATGTTGCATTCTCTGATCTGCACGGAACTTCTGCAAATGAGGTAGCAATTAGTTTGAACTGCAATGAAGGGAGTGGAGGGTGCAGCAACATTTTGATGGATGGAGTTAGAATAACCCCAGCAGTTCCAGGAATGAACCTTCATGCTATTTGCAGCAATGCTCATGGAAAAGTCACTTCTGCTACCCCAGATGTACCGTGTTTATCACACTAATGTCCGTACGTGCTAGGACCTTTTTTTTCACTTTATTCCCTTTAAAATAGAAGACGACATTTATTAGGAAAGTGACTGGAATCCT